CACCGCAAGCCATGTCCAGTGAGACGCAGCACGCATGCTGGTGCATCTGCCGGTGGCGGAGATGGTGTTCCGTTTGCAGAGCCCAAGAAGACATTTGCAGGGCAACAAGGCCTGCATTCGTCCGTTGCTGCAGGGAGACTTGGTTCTAGATGAAATCTACCGGCTTTCACACCACCATGTCTCTGCTGCTCCAAAGCTTTAAACATCTTTAAACTGGGTTCATCCAACAGGCCTAGGCTGAAATTCAAATCGGGCAGAAGAAATCTAAACTGCAGGCTGCCAGTCAAACAAAGGCATTAACAAAGGCATTGCCGCGTTGCATAGTAGGGCTCGAATGGTTAAAAAATGATCCACAATTAGATATGAAACTATATTCTTGGGTCTCTGCCAAGCTGATCAGCTCAAGGATTGTTCGACTGAAGGGATCAGGATTTGACAGGCAGATCATTTCACTACCGACAGCCCCGGTTGGTTCTTGATGTTGAGACACGGCAACATGACAACACGGCCTGGTGGGACTCCAAGTCTTGGAACTCCGAAAAGCCAAGCACTGCTTCGCCCAGGTCGCTGCGTGGGAAGCGAATGCATCCAAGGAGCTCTCTTCGGGATTGGCCGAATCCTGGGCAGAAATGTGTAGTTGATTTGAGAAAGGCAAACTGCAGGGAAGAAAACATGAAACGCTACAGCTGTCTCCCTTTGCATCAGTACTGCTATGCTTGTGTCAAAGAAAGTATGCAACGCCAAACATTTCAATTACATTTTGGATGCTGATTCTACCAGAGCAGTCCAAACGCATTTGTCATACCCAAAAACAGTCCTCGTCTGCTTTCGATGCACTTGGTTCCAGCTGTTGCTGTGTAGATGTCTGCACTTGGCTAGTGCCTGACTCGCTTTCCGGTGGTTTTGGAGCATGTCCTGCTGCGGAGTTTGCAGCTGCAAATGGCAGCTTGACTTTCTTGTGAACCGTGAGCCAAAGATCATCCAGCTCCATCTTCTCTTTATCTTGTCTTTGAAAACCGATTTCCTGCTCAGCATGTTTCTCCTTCTTGACCTTCACACCATCAGCAAGTTCTACCTTTACTGAGCTTGGACCCCCGGTTTGCATGGTTTGCTGCATATCTGGCCGGGTCAGGCGCCGGCGCTTGGCAACCAGCTTGGGCTCTGGCTCAGCTGCAGTTTGACTATTCACAGCCTTGTTGCTCCTCTCAGTTTCTCTCTTCTGCGTTGTAACTTCAGAGTGGTCGGACTGGCTTTCTAAAATTTCAAAAGCTTCATCGTGCTTGGGATCTTCTTCCATCTCTTCTTTCATCATGATCTCCTTGCGGGTAAGATCATCCAAACTTGAGGACTTACAGGTTTGTTCTTGTTGTTCCTCTTGTTCTATCTCTTCCTTGATCTCGCCCTTCACCTGCAGCCAAAGATTATCCATCTTCATCTTCTCCTTATTTTGGCTTTCAAACTTGACTTCCTGCTCAGCACGTTTCTCCTTCTTGGCATCCGCACCATCAACAAGTTCAATCTTTGCTGAGCTTGGACCCCCAGTCTGCATGGTTTGCACCATGTGTTGGCGGGTCGAGCGCTGGTGCTTGGCAGCAAATGATTCCTCAAGTGATTCCGTCAGTTCTTGCCGTGGCGTGGTACGATTCAGGTTCCCAGGCCAACAGCTTTTGAGCGACGCCTGGGGTGCTTGGAAAATTGAGCCCCAAATGGCAGCATACAACGTGCTTGATCCCCATTGTTGTGTGGCGAATCCACATCATCCCCGTCAAGAGATCGCGTGTCCGTGCGTTTGATTCTTAAATCGAACAAGACCTCCATAACTACTAGGTGAGTCATATCCCTTTTGTACATGTATAAATATATATATATATGTATGTGTGTGTGTTTGTGTGTATAATATATCCTTCTAATAAACAAGTATTAATTAACTTGTACTTAGGCCAGAAAGAATTACCCCATAGTTTCCCACTAATGATATATCATCCCAAATTTGCTGCTTGAATCATCTCCATCCCCAGCTGCCACAGGATCTCCTTCGCGATGCCCGCCGCCAGCTGCGAGGCGCTGCGGCAAGGCCCATGCCGCCTGCCGCGCGTGAAAAACGTGAAGTTTTCATAGGTAAATCATGGTAAATCATGTATAAATGGATGATGTTGTACAGCAATATTTAGTTTCCCAGGAAAGTATGGGCTTTACATGGTTTTGATGGATTTATTGATCAACTGGACGGGATTTGTTGATGGCAATAATGGGAATCAACCAATCTATCTATTGTATCTGCTGTATCTAAAGTATCCAAACATGTGGCATTGAACTGAGAAAAATCACGATACTGCGATGTTCATTAGCAAAACATGATTTAGAAACTAAAAAAGAAAAGGTCTAAGTGACCAAGCGACAAAAATGGGGAGTAAGCTGACAATACCTGGAGGCGAACCAAGAAGAATTGGAGATATTAAGTATGATAATAACTTAATATAACTTAACTAATAACCAGCAAAAAGTTGGATAATCCAACCAAAAGAAATGAGCCACCCATCCAAAACTAGGCATGGCACCAACAACGGTTACACTGCTCCTTCCATCAGTTGATTGGTTCAAGAAATGTGGTATCTCATCTACCAAGAAGTTTTTTTTACCACCCACCCAAATTAGGTTGTTTCAAATGTTCCTCTAAAATCGGCTGAAATTTTACCCCTTTTTGTCCGTCAACTCCCTGCCTCCCAGGTTGCAAGCGCCCTTCTCTTGCAGGGCCTCCCAAATGCTCTCCACAAACGTCACGCGCGCACAGGTCTGCCATTGGGTGTGGAAAGGGAAGTGATTCGCGTTTGAAATCTGAGACCCACTGGGGTCATGCTTCACCTATGAAGGGGTCAGCATGTTTTTCCATTGAAAAAAAGTGTTGTTTCAGACCCACTCTAGCGGTAAATCATTCAATGTTGGAGCTACTTCTGTTGATGATCAGTGATGCCCCTTTTGGTATCAAAGGCCCTCCATGTGAATATAAGTAACATGCAATCATCGGAAAATGGACAATCTAACGGGGATGCAATGTATTCTATTGGATATAGCGGTCAGACCGCTATTGAGCTCAACTGGAAAAAACCCAAATGGAAAAAAATTGGCTATCAGCATGGGATGCGTGAGGAATGCTAAGAATATTTTTTTCATAATGGCAGCAATCTTGGGATATAAAACGAAGAATCAATTAAGAATTACTATTAATCACCTACAATTAGGATTAATCAAATGATAGCATGCTTGTAGGCCCGCACAGTCCTCTGAAAGCCTGCAAAGTCGAAAGAACCACTGAGTGATAGTTTCGAAAATTATCACCAGAGGAATTCTTAAAATCTCCATCAACCATGTTTCAACCCATTGTCTACTGGGGGCCCGCCACTGCACCGGCATGCATAGATAAAAATGTCTGGAACTGGCAAAACATGACAAGTAAAAGGCATGATCAAGTGGCTAGTCTACGGCTGCGAAGTATGAGAAGTTCTAGATGACAATTTCGATCAATCTGACGAGTGCTGTTTTTCTGATTGAGGATGGCTAAAGAATCAACTGCCAGAGAGATCGGTTCTTTGGCATATTTTTCCACAGAAGGGATCATGTGAAATTATTCGAATTTGTTTGAGCCACATACATCCAGTATCTCCACCTTTTGTAAGATATCTCCCCATTTACATCATTTCCCCGTCACTACTGGCATTTGACCGATCCACACCGTGCCATCTTCCTCCCTTGCTCGACATCGACGCGACGCCTCGTCTCGGGATCTTCTTCCAGCTGTCGCAAGATCTCATCGTTATCGATCAAGAAGCTGCCTCCCTCCTCGGCAGGAAGTGGGGCAAACGACAGGTACGGTAACCTTGGTTTAGTTCACAAGGCTACCCTCTGGTAAATGGAAAATCCCCGAACTAAATTAGTAAATGGAGGTTTATAGCTGAGAAAGTCAATTGTAAATGGGGTATGCTCAATTGCCAAGTTTGATTACCGGAGGGTAAGTGGGATTTATAGTGGATGTACCATGACGTATCATGATGCGGCCATGGTCAATAGTGGTAGGTGAGATTATAGACCAAGTTGTAGCTGGGGGAGCCTTCCAACAACAAATCAATGTTTGGGGATGAAACCAGCAACCAATGAGGATTATAAACCAATGGAATTTTGCCAACGAGAAGAAGATGTCCTTCTTGTGGGTGGCTAGTTTTCCAAATCCAGGGGTTTCTTCCCTCGGCAAAACTATCAAATCACCGAGCACACCTCGCAGGCGCACGGAGGAGTTAGAAGTTGTCTGGGAACCTGCAGCGATGGCTGGATGCGAATTCTCAAATGTCAATCTGAGTTGGTGAAGTCTCACAATAAGGGATCACGTATGAAACCAAGGTTTCAAGTTGTTTCGAAGGGTTTTAATATCAGGAAGATAAGATTAGATAAACTCTGATGGAACATCCCGAAATGGGTGTCAAGAATCTTGAGCCATACCGCCATATGTGTTGAATATATATCCTATGGCACTGCAGATTTTCCATGGATTTTCCGATTAAATGTGACATGTTTCATAAAAACCTTTGTTTTGGGGTGATGTTTCTATCTTCACAGGTCCCAGAAAACCCACGAGTTTCCTCCACCGTTGGGCCCAAGGAGCTCATCTCCATAGGCATTGCCATCAGGCCTTGAAGGTATCGTCCTGTGGCGGCCATCTGTACCATGGTCAAGCTACATGGAGAGAAAAGGGGTATGGTCATCTAACCATGATGCGGAATCCTTCTGATGACTATATTAATCCCTACAATGGATACAAATGGTGGTTGAATAACGGTATTTCTCTGATTCAATCATCAATTTCAGCCTCGCTTTGGATGCGTTCAGCACGATTTGTATATTTCCCTCCTATCCCTATTCCCATTCCATCCCTGTGCTCCACGTTTAGGACCCCAGCTCAAGTGCGCAGAACCACATCTTTTTACTATGATTAGAAACGAATGGATGGGAAGAAAGGCTCTTGTTTTTTTGTGCGAACGTGTCAGGTGAGGATTGTCTGTACGGGGCGCAGCATCTGAAACTTGGCATCCGTGACTTTTGCACTCACTTTCGCTGCTTCCTCCCGGGCTTCACCTTGGACTTCACAGCCTTGCTTTCTTTCTCCTTCTCCTTCTCCTGCTTCTTCTTCCATGCCACAGCCACTTGGAAGGAGCGCTCCAGCTCCGCCTCCGAGTGGTCCTTGGGCCTTACCCTGAAATTTCGGGTTGACCCGCCAACGGCGCAACATGCATGCCACTGCTGCTCAGGCTGGCGCCACTTCACCCCTGGGTACGGCACCTTGGGGTGGAACTCCGGCAGCTCCGACAGGGTGGCCACGGGCTTTACCTGGCGCTGCAGGCCGTCCTTCTCCCGGAGCTCCAGGGCCTTCGCCTCGGCCGCCGCCTTCTCGGTGAAGTAGCCGCCGTGAATCGTCTTCTTGCCGCCATTGGGGCGGATCTGTACCCACCACTTTTGTGCGCTCTTCCTCCACTGCACTCCCGGCACTTCGCTGGTGAAGTTGGGGTCCTTCTGCTTGGGCTCGCTGAGGATGCCCTTCTCCACCAGCTCTGCATGGAAGGCCTTGGCGGCCTCGAGAGCTAGTGCGTCGGCCTGGGCCTCGGAGATGCCTGGGCCAATGAACTTCTTCACAGAGAAGACTCGGTTGGTCCAGCTGATCTTGTTTCCTTTGGAGTCACGTTTGGGGAACTTGACTTGCCAGGCCATCAGCATCCTGTCCCACTTGACATTGGGAATCCCGCTTTGCTTCGCAATGTTGTTTCTTGTGAATTTATTTGGCCTCTGCTCCCCGGGAGGTGATAGTGGATGCTCCGCAGCGGTCACTGCGATTGGGGCTTCTTCTTCGATCTTGTCGACTGAAGGTTTCACCTCCTCTGCTGCAAGACCCACAGATTCGAAGACTTCCACGCCTTGCATGGCATTGCTGCCGCCTGAGGATGAGAGCCGTCGGAGCCCGTTCTCATCAAAAGCCCAACCACGACCGGCCCAAACGGAAGTTGGCAGATCCCTCATCCACGGCCACCTCTTGGTACAATCCATGCTGCGGACCTTGTTGTCCTGATGCTGGCAGCACAAAACAAAGCGTAGCACTCTGGGAAAACGCAACGCCTCGCTCGTCTCTGCTACATTCCAATCATTCCAGAGCACGATCTAAGTGATAAAATGAAGTTGAATATCGGAAAATCTGGTGGTAAGACAAATTGCTTCGTTAGTTGGTAATAATCTCTAACAATCTGCAACAATCCTGCTACGCACACCATGATGCATCACATTTCTGCAAATACCTTTCAACGATAAATTGTGCAGTGTAAGGAGAGTCGGTCCTGCATGCTCAAGTCGCAATCTAGTGTTGGCTCTTGTAGCGACATGTCCAGGGGCGTCCGAGATGCCTCTGCCTTCAGGGAAGGGCTTGAAAAACATATGGCACCAACTGTTTGAAGTCACCTGCCTTCACTCTCAAGACTCTCAACTTTTGACTCTTTGATTTACAAGAAACAAATATTTGAATCCAAAACCTAGTAAAGCGCGTATCGAAACAATGTAAACCACATAATTACTATGCAGACACAATGCAGAAGTTCAGCAAACAACATCCCTCCTGACTCTGGAACGTCATGCTATGCAAGTCGTGCTTTTCGTGAAAGCGCTGCAAGCACCGCAAGCCATGTCCAGTGAGACGCAGCACGCAAGCTGGCGCATCTGTTGGTGGCGGAGATGGTGTTCCATTTGCCGAGCCCAAGAAAACGTTTGCAGGGCAACAAGGCCTGTATTCGTCCGTTGCTGCAGGGAGACTTGGTTCTAGATGAAATCTACCGTCTTTCACACCACCATGTTTCCGCTACTCTAAAGCTTGAAGCCGGATTCACCCAACAGCCCTAGGCTGAATTTAAATCGGGCAGAAGAAATCTAAACTGCAGGCTGCCAGTCAAACAAAGGCATTGCCGTGTTGCAAAGTAGGGATCGAATGGTTAGAATATGATCCACAGTTAGGTATGAAACTATATCCTTGGGTCTCTTGCCAAGTTGATCAGCTCAAGGATTGTTCTCATTGTCGGACCGAACGGATCAGGATTTGACTGGCAGATCATTTCACTACCGAGAGCCCTTGTTGGTTCTTGATTCTGTGGGCCCACTGTGGGCTGAGAATAAACTGTCACGACAACACGGCCTGGTGGGACTCCAAGTCGTGGAACTCCGAAAAGCCAAGCACTGCTTCGCCCAGGTCGCTGCGTGTGAAGCGAATGAATCCAAGGAGCTCTCTTCAGGATTGGCCAAATCCTGCACAGAAATGGAGTGGATGTAGGGAAGGCAAACTGCAGACAAGAGAACATGAAACGCTACAGCAGTCTCTTCACCCTTTGCATCAGTTCTGCTATGCTTGTGTTACTGTTAAAGAAACTATGACAGCGCCAAAGGTTCTAATTCTGTTTTGGATACTGATTCTACCAGAGCAATCCAGGCGCATCTCATATACCCCAAAACAGTCCTCGTCTGCTTTCGATCTTGAAGCATCTTCCATGCCAAATGCACTTGGTTCCAGCTGTTGCTGGGTAGATGTCTGCACTTGGCCAGTGCCTGACTCGCTTTTTGGTGGTTTTGGAACATGTCCTGCGGCGGAGTTTGCAGCTGCAAATGGCAGCTTGACTTTCTTGTGAACCTTGAGCCAAAGATCATCCAGCTTCATCTTCTCCTTATCTTGTCTTTTAAAACCGGTTTCCTGCTCCGCATGTTTCTCCTTCTTGACCTTCACACCATCAGCAAGTTCTATCTTTACTGAGCTTGGACCCCCGATCTGCATGGGTTGCTGCATATCTCGACGGGTCAGGCGCCGGCGCTTGGCAACCGGCTTGGGCTCTGGCTCACCTCCGTTTTGACTATTCGCAACCTTGTTGCTCTTCTCAGCTTCCCTCTTCTGCGTTGCAACTTCAGAGTGGCCAGACTGGGTTTTTAAGCTTTCAAAAGCTTCATCGTGCTTGGGCTCTTCTTCCATCTCTTCTTTCATCATGATCTCCTAGTGGGTAAGATCATCCAAACTTGAGGACTTACAGGTTTGTTCTTGTTGTTCCTCTTGTTCTATCTCTTCCTTGATCCCGCCCTTCACCTGCAGCCAAAGATTAAACATCTTCATCTTCTCCTTACCTTGGCTTTCAAACTTGACTTCCTGCTCAGCACGTTTCTCCTTCTTGGCATCCGCACCATCAGCAAGTTCTATCTTTGCTGAGCTTGGACCCCCAGTCTGCATGGTTTGCTGCATACCTCGGCGGGTCGAGCGCTGGTGTTCGGCAGCAGATGATTCCTCAAGTGATTCCATCAGTTCTTGCCGTGGCGTGGTACGATTCACGTTCCCAGGCCAACAGCTTTTGAGCGACGCCTGGGGTGCTTGGAAAATTGGGCCCCAAATGGCAGCATACAACGTGCTTGATCCCCATTGTTGTCTGGCAAATCCACATCATCCCCGTCAAGAAATCACGTGTGTTTGATTCTTAAATCGAACAAGACCTCCTTGACTCCTACGTGAGTCATATCCTTTTATACATGTATACATATATGTATGTATGTGTGCATGCATGTCTGTCTGTCTGTGTGTGTGTTTGTGTGTGTAATATCTTATTCTAATAAACAAGGGTTAACTTGTACTTAGGCCAGAAAAAGAAAAAACCTCCCCATCCCCATCTAATGATTACCCCATAGTTTCCCACCAATGATATATCATCCCAAATTTGCTGGTTGAATCATCTCCATCCCCAGCTGCCACAGGATCTCCTTCACGATGCCCGCCGCCAGCTGCCTTCGGTGCCGCGGCAAGGCCCATGCCGCCTGCTGCGCATGAAAAACGTGAAGTTTTCATAGGTAAATCATGGTAAATCATGTATAAATCGATGATGTTGTACAGCAATATTTAGTTTCCCAGGAAAGTAAGGGCTTTACATGGTGTTAATGGATTTATTGATCAACTGGATGGGATTTATTGATGGAAATAATGGGGATCAACCAATCTATCTGCTGTATCTAAAGTATCCAAACATGTGGCATCGAACTGGGGCTAACCAAAAGAAATGAGCCACCCATCCAAAAGTAGGCATGTCACTAAACATTGGTGACACTGGTTTTCCATCAATTGATTTGTTCAGGAAATGTGGTATCTTATCTACCAAGATTTTTTTTTAAACCACCCACCCAAATTAGGTTGTTTCAAATGTTCCTCTAAAATCGGCTGAAATTTTACCCCTTTTTGTCCGTCAACTCCCTGCCTCCCAGGTTGCAAGCGCCCTTCTCTTGCAGGGCTTCCCCAATGCTCTCCACAAACGTCACGCGCGCACAGGTCTGCCATTGGGTGTGGAAAGGGAAGTGACTCGTGTTTTAAATCTGAGACCCACTGGGGTCATGCTTCACCTATGAAGGGGTCAGCAGGAAATTCCATTGAAAAAAGTGTTGTTTCAGACCCACTCTAGCGGTAAATCATTCAATGTTGGAGCTACTTCTGTTGATGATCAGTGATGCCCCTTATGGTATCCAAGGCCCCCCATGTGAATATAAGTAACATGCAATCATCAGTTAATGGAGAATGTAACGGGGATGTAATGTATTCTATGGGATATAGCGGTCTCTTGAGCTCAACTGGACAAAACACAAATGGAAAAAATTGGCTATCAGCATGGGATGCGTGAAGAATGCTAAGAATATTTTTTTCATAATGGCAGCAATCTTGGGATATAAAATGAAGAATCAATTAAGAATTACTACTAATCACCTACAGTTAGGAGTAATCAAATGATAGCATGCTTGTAGGCACAGTCCTCTGAAAGCCGGCAAAGTCGAAAAGAACCACTGAGTGATAGTTTCGAAAATTATCACCAGAGGAATGCTTAAAATCTCCATCAACCATGTTTCAACCCATTGTCTACTGGGGGCCGCCACTGCACCGGCATGCATAGATAAAAATGTCTGGAACTGGCAAAACATGACAAGTAAAAGGCATGATCAAGTGGCTAGTCTAAGTCTGCGAAGTATGAGAAGTTCTAGATGACAATTTCGATCAATCTGACGAATGCTGTTTTTCTGATTGAGGATCGCTAAAGAATCAACTGCCAGAGAGATCGGTTCTTTGGCATATTTTTTCCACGGAAGGGATCAAATGAAATTATTCGAATTTGTTTGAGCCACATACATCCAGTATCTCCACCTTTTGTAAGATATCTCCCCATTTAAATCATTTCCCCCATCACTACTAATCTTCCTCCCTTGGCCTCGTCTCAGGGTCTTCTTCCAGCTGTTGCAAGATCTCATCGCCATCGATCAAGAAGTTGCCTCCCTCAGCAGGGAGTGGGGCCTCCAAACGACAGGTACGGTAACCTTGGTTTAGTTCACAAGGTTATCCTGTGGTAAATGGAAAATCCCCGAACTAAATTAGTAAACGGAGGTTTATAGCTGAGAAAATCAATTGTAAATGGGGTATGTTCAATTGCCCCGTTTGATTACTGGAGGGTAACTGGGTTTATCATGAAGGTATCTATAATCAATACTCAATAGTGGTAGGTGGGACTATAGACCAACTTGTAGCTGGATGTAGCTGGGGGGGCCTTCCAACAACAAACCATGTTTGGGGATGAAACCAGCAACCAATGAGGATTATAAACCAATGGAAATTTTGCCAACAAGAAGATGTCCTTCTTAGAAGGTGGCTGGTTTTCCAAATCCAGGGGTTTCTTCCCTCAACAAGATCATCGAATCGCCGGGCACACCTCGCAGGCGCGCGGAGGAGTAAGAAGTTGTCTGGGAACCTGCAGTGATGGCTGGATGCGAATTCTCAAATGTCAATGCAGGTTGCTGACGTATACCCTCTAGTATCATCAAACATGGCTGGCTGGGAAATCCCTTACAAATGGGTATTTAAATGGAGGTTTCCTAAAATGTGAGTAATTACCCCAAATCATCCAAAATTAGCAATTTGTGTACTAACACCCATGGTTTTGGGGCTCCCCCATTTTAGGAAACCCCCAAATGGGAGAATCATCTATTGATGGGGATTCTCCATTTCCACCCTTGATTACTAGAGGGTAATCCCTTGGCAATTCCTTCCGCTCATGACAAATATGCACAATAAGAGATGAAGGTTCATAAATAGATTCTGTACGAAGCCAGGGTTTCCATGGGGGGCATGCATAGAATACTCACAATAAGGGAGGTTGATGAGGTCTGCGATCCAGTATGAAAACAGGGTTTCAACTTTCCTTTCGAGGGGTTTTAACATTAGGAACATGGGATTAGATATGGGTCAAGTTTTTAAGACTCTCAAAATCAGAATGTCGTATCATTTTGTAGCATCTTGGCATTGACTCTCCTATTCTTGTAGGGGTACAAATTGTTGTCCACACCTAAAATATCAAGTTTGGTCCA